TAGGGCGTTTCCAGTCCGTGCTCACTTGGAGCAGGCACACACACAGAGGAAGATCAGGAGACGCTGTGCCAGTCTAGGCAGACTGTTGGAAGTAGGTTTGCAGCAAGTGGCTGCAGGGGCAAAGTGCACCTCTGGGGTATGGAGGGCTGAAAAGAAGGAGGGGACACTGGTGGTCAGCAATACAAATGACACCCTGGGTCAGCAGGAAGGGTATACTGCATAACAAGGGATGAGACTATCAGGAACTGGGAAGATAAGTGGTCTCCTTCCTCTCCCTCCAACAGTCTCACTCATTTGCCTACTTGGGGAGGTATTTCCAACATCTACCTCTCCGGGACTTCTGGACAAGCTGGAGGATTAGACTTCCCAGGCCCCTTGAGGTGGAGTGTGGTCATGTGACTTGCTCTGGCCAATGAAATGGAGAGGAAGTGAGTGTGTCACTTCCTGGAAGAAGCATGTAATGGCTGGGCTTGATTGCCATCCAGTTCTGCTTTGCCCATCCAAATGTACCTACTGATGCAGAAGCGGCAGAAATGGAAGCAATAAACTCTGTGAATGAAGAAAAAAGCAAAACCAAACCTAGCAAAAACCAAAACAAGAGTACTTTGGTTCCACGAAAGCCATTAGATTTCTGGGTCGTCAGCCACTCTTGATGCCATGTGCCATCTTCTTTTCCCCTTTCTGACAGTCTGTCTCCTCCGCACCTTGTTCTCGCCTCCTTCCCTCACCACCTATCTCTTCTTTCCTTTCTTCTCCCCTTTACTCTATGGTCCCACTGCTCTCCTAGCTAGAAATTATAAGTATAATGTTTTATATTCCTAATCTAAAACATGTATATATTTGCATTTTTTAAAAAAAGGGTAAATTCTTAAAATTAAACGTTTTATATTTCTCTCCTAAAGGAAAAAAAAAAAAAGCTCCAAGGTAAACGAAAACTCAGCTTCAACTTAAAAAATGCATGCTTCGAAACTTTACTATGTTATATAAACATACGGTGCTAATATTGTAGATAAGCCTGCAATTGACTTTCTTGTGTGGGTCAGTGGCTATCAGGAAAAACAAAAAGAAACATAAACCTCCCCCAAACACCAGGCAACAGCCGCACAGCTCGGAGAAGGCTGAGCTCCCTCTGGAGTAGGTTCTGAACAGGAAATCACTACAAGTAGCCAGCGTCTCAGTCGTCATCAGGAATTCTGTTACGACGGCTGGCGCAGCCCCACATCCAGAAGCCTAGTCAAGGCTGCAGGACACTCCAGCTAGCAAAAGAAGTCCTCATTTTCATGCACATTCATTCAAGACATGAGGTCACCCCAGCACCCCAAAAAGTTGTTTCAAGCAATTAAAATCACTCCAGATGCAAAACAACAGAGAATGAAAGAGCAGAAAATGCAATGGTAGCCTGGCTAATCATGCACACTTCAATACGCACAACAGATGGGTACTTACAAGTTTCTGGTATTAAGTAAGAACATGCTCTACCGGGTAAACATGCCTTGAACTTTCAGGTCATTTTACAACACCAGGGGGAAGAACCACTGAGGGCTTTACACATAAAACCCTCTTCAGAGATGATGTACAGGGAGAAGAAACATTTACATAAGGAAAGAAAGAACATGCAAAAGGAGGGAGAGTCTGGTGGGAAATTCTGAAGTTCACTTACTGCCTGCTTTTGCTCTTCTTCCTGGAGGTGTTGAAGATGAAAAAAAAAAAAAAGGCAGAGGAACAAAGGAGAGAAATTAATGCCCATCACCACAAACACTGCAAAGAAATGACAGAAAAATCAGGCAAACCGGGCCAAGCCCACGGGTGCTAAGAGCAAAGTCCCCGTTCTCCACGGGAGCATCAGAGGACGAAGCAAGCGGCAGGCCTCAGCCCGGTGAGTGATTCAATGCTGACTCTCAGAGCTAGAAGGAAAGAACCTTAGAAACCACCCAGTCCAACACTCTTACTGAAGATGAAACAGGCCTAGAGGGCCTGACCTGCCTAAGGTCCCACAGCTATTTCGGGGAATCTGAAAGAGGAAGTTCAACCATGACTTGAAATTTGAATGATCATTCTGTTTCATTATTCACAATATTTACATGTGTTTAGGTACATTTATCTAGGCAAGTGGTTTTCAATGCATAGAACACAGACCAGCAGCATTGGCATCCCCTGGGAACTTGTCAGAGATGTCCACTTTGTGCCACACCCTATCCCCACCAAACTGAAGCTCTGAGGGGGGCGGGGGGACACAGCAGCGCCTTCAATCTTGTCTCTGATTCTGGCGCATATTAAGTCTGAGACCCACTGCTCTAATAACTTCCCAACCAGTAATTCTACCAACAACAAGTTCTTTTCTTATTTGATCCCCTTTCCACACTTAACATGTTGGAAATGTACCCACATCTACTTGTTTTCAGGCAGTGTCTTTTTTATTTTTCAGTGAATCCCATACATACCCACTTCCCCAATAAACTGGAAACTGCTTGGAGACCCTGAAAGGTCATTCAAAAAAGAATTCTTGACTTCAGTTTTTTTTTTTTTTTTGAGACGGAGTTTCGCTCTCGTTACCCAGGCTGGAGTGCAATGGCGCGATCTCGGCTTACCACAACCTCCGCCTCCTGGGTTCAGGCAATTCTCCTGCCTCAGCCTCCTGAGCTGGGATTATAGGCACGTGCCACCATGCCCAGCTAATTTTTTGTATTTTTAGTAGAGACGGCGTTTCACCAGGTTGACCAGGATGGTCTCGATCTCTTGACCTCGTGATCCACCCGCCTCAGCCTCCCAAAGTGCTGGGATTACAGGCTTGAGCCACCGCGCCCGGCCGACTTCAGTTTTTCACTAATTGAACACAGGTTTATTTAGTACCTCTTAGGCAGAAAGCACTGGAAACATAAAGAAATGGTCTCTGTCTTATTTATTTATTTATCTATCTATCTTGTTTATTTATTGTGATGGAGTTTTGCTCTTGTTGCCCAGGCTGGGGTGCAATGGTGCAATCTGGGCTCACTGCAACCTCTGCCTCCTGAGTTCAAGTGATTCTCCTGCCTCAGCCTCCCGAGTGGCTGGGATTATAGGCATGTGCCACCACACCTGGTTAATTTTGTATTTTTAGTAGAGCTGGGGTTTCACTATGTTGGCCAGGCTGGTCTCAAACTTCTGACCTCAGGTGATCCACCCGCCTTAGCCTCCCAAAGTGCTGGGATTACAGACATAGCCACCGCACCCGGTTGGTCTGTCTTTTGGAACCTTACAATGATGGTACATAGAGCAGGCACTTGCTGGCTATCAGCTGACTGCCCAGATGAATGTGCTACTAGACGCTGTAGGAAAAAGGATAAAGAGAACATTTTCAAGTTTCTCTCGCTTCAGTTCTTTGCTACTCATCTACCCTGTCTTTTCTGTTTTCTTCCTATTGATTTGCATACTCTTTTAATGGGTTTCTCTCATTTCAACTTTCTGTGCCTCATATGGATCACTGTAGTCAGAAATCCTCGGCTGTTTAGCCTAGTATGTAAATCTAAAAGCTGTGGAATGGTGCTATTTAAATTGGACCAATCCATGCAGCCAGTCTTTTTTTTTTTTTTTTTGAGACGGAGTTTCACTCTTGTTACCCAGGCTGGAGTGCAATGGCGTGATCTCGGCTCACCGCAATCTCCGCCTCCTGGGTTCAGGCAATTCTCCTGCCTCAGCCTCCTGAGTAGCTGGGATTACAGGCACGCGCCACCACGCCCAGCTAAGCCAGTCTTTACTGAACGAGCATGTGCAAGTCTTAGGAATGGTTAAGTGCTCCTGTTCTCACACAGTCTATAGATCTGGGTGCAATGGTGAGAAATGCCTCAGAAAAGCAAAAGAATGACAAAAGGGAGAGGGTAAGTAAACACTCGGAGAACATAATTTTTATTACTGCAAGGGAAAGACAGGGAGTAGAAATAAATGGGCACTGAGAAATCTCTAAAGGAGACTCCAACTCGGCACAGGAAGGTGCTCTTCACAATCAAAGCCAGATACTTCAGCATGACCAAAGCTAAACTCACAGGAACCCAGGCACAGAGCGCTGAGCATTGGCTCTGGCAGCTTGGAGGCGTTTCAGTACTTCTGCTTTTGCGCCTGCTTTGCAGTTAAGAAGCAAGCTCTCTTCCTTGCCAGACTTCCCTTCGGGGCAGGACACTTTTCTTATATTCACCAGGCAAGGCAAACACTCAGAGGACAGTCATCAAAGAATTATACAATGTTTTCATTGCTGGCACTGTGTTGAAGTGGAAAGTGCGATGCTTGGGGAGGGGTGGGGCAATCCTAACAGGCTGAAATTGTATCTGAGGTCAGAAGACCAGTATGTAATTTCTTAGAACTGTTTCTAAGACATCTCTACTTTCAGAGTTTTCTCCAGGTTTGGTATTAGAGAGAACACTGCTGTGCTTCAATAGAATGGGGAAATTTCAGAAAGCAATGTTTCATACTTGGACATCTGGTGACTGCAATTTAAGTTTGTCAGGAAAGAAATCATAATTTGCAGTAGACACAGATCAGGCTAGGATGGGAACAGTGGGCAGGGCAGTGCTTCCAGGACTTAGAGACCTTCCACGTGCCCTAGTAATAGGAGAGAGTGGACTTTGGCAAAGTGCTGTTTAGGACGGTGTGGTATAATTTAAACTCACAAAACTTATTCAGGTAAACCCTTTTAGGCTCTGTCAACATGGTAAACAGGTCAGATCCAAGGTCAGGGAACCTCTGTATTGTCAACTGGGGTCACTAAATATTGACTGATGACAAGGGATAGAGCCAATGTGATTTAAAAGGGGGTAATAATACCTCACTTGTTAAGTGTAAACTTAGAACTGTTTACGTCACCTAAAAACATGTGAGTCTCTTCCACATGAATGAGGTCTAGCAAGGTGGTCAAAGCAATGGCATAGCCACTGTTGATATTTACATAAAAATCTGCACTCAAACTAGATAAACATTTGCAAATGAGGTTGAAACTCAAGACTGTAGAATTCATCTGGTAAACGAATTTCTTTTTTTTTTTTTTTTGATTTAATAAAGTTTTATTTTTCCAAATGTACAGTTGTTTGGACCTATTCATGCGTCTTCACCAGCAGCTGGAGCATCTCCACCCTTGGTATTTCTGGTGTAAATTACTTGAGCTCTGTGCTTTGAAACCAGTTTGATAAGTCCTTTGCTAAGGAGCTCCTGAAGGGCTGCCCTGGCCAGGGAGCCTCGAATCTTCAGTCTCTCAGAGACCACAGCTGGAGTTATAAGTTTATAGTTGGGAACTTCCTTACAGAGTTTGTCATAGGTAGCTTTGTCAAACAAGACTAAGTTATTGAGCTTGTCCCGAACTTTGCCTTTGGACCACTTCTTCTTTTTGGCCTTGCCCCCGGATTTGTTCACTGGGTCTTTGTCTTTCTTGGCCGACTTTCCGGCGTCTTTCTTCTTTTTGTCGCCCTTGGGCGGCATCGCGAAGCTCGGAGAGCAGCGGCGAACACTACAACCGCGCTAAGATGTCGGACAAAAAAGGAGTTTCTTTTTCTTTTCTTCTTCTCTCTCCTTTCTTTTTGGAGACGGAGGCTGGAGTGTAATGGCGTGATCTCAGCTCACCATGACCTCTGCCTCCTGGGTTCAAGTGATTCTCCTGCCTCAGCCTCCTGAGTAGCTGGGATTACAGGCACGCACCATCACACCTGGCTAATTTTTGTGTTTTTAGTAGAGACGGGGTTTCACCATGTTGGCCAGGCTGGTCTTGAACTCCTGGCCTCAAGTAATCCACTTGCCTTGGCCTCCCAAAGTGCTGGGATGACAGGCGTGAGCCACGGCACCTGACTGGATACCGTATTATCTCCCGTCCCACAAGTGTACTAACTCCACGGCAGAGGACTTTTAAAGCCACATGAGGTTACAGATGTTAAACAGGCCACGTATGTTTAAGTACATCCCTGCTGTTTAGAGGGAGGGACTGGGTTGCTCAGATGGATATTTGACAACTATCAGAGGGATCTGGGCCAGGTGTTTGCATCAGATTTTCTTTAAGGAAGACCCATTCAGCCATAAAATATTTCTGAGGAAAAATCCTGCTAACAGGGTTAATGCAGAAACAGATCTATGCAAAATAACCCAAACGCTCAGGGCCAAAGCTAGGGAGAAAAAACAACAGCAACAACAACAACCAACAATTCGGCTCAGGACGAAAACCAGTAATTGTCTTGAGCAAGTCAAAAGCCAGTTTAAAACACAAATGCTACATTTATCCACGTTGCTAATGCCCACTAGCTTCTTTACTAAGAGACTGACTTAGAATGGAGAAGTTGAAGAAAAGTCTCTAAACTGATATTGTCCTGGGCTACCACTCCTGGGGTTAAGATCCTTGTCACTTCAGGCCTGGAGGATGAAATTAGTCTCCTATTATCCTTCAGCTTTTCTCTGTTCTAACTTGCCCTTAGTATTTTCCTGAACTGTTGTTTTTAAACCTCCAATGACTCCCCTTTATCACAAGATTAAATTCACTCCTGTCATCTGGCTTTTGGGGCACTACACTTTGTGATTTTCTCTGGCTGTTAACTTGGTGTCATACGACAAAATGCAGTGGGTTCTCAGCATCACTGGGTGGGACCTAAGAAAGTAATAGCGGGAGCAAGTACCCTGGTATTGCTGCCTCATAACCAGGTAGATATTTCTGTTCAATGCCAATAAAACTGTCCAGGGGAGGCCATTCAAATGCCAAGCACGCCTTCCTTTGCTCTGGGGTATATGGGTTGTAATACAGCTTTCAACAAGAATAGATAGACCTTGTGTGCCTGTAGACCTAGCCACTCAGAAGGCTGAGGCAGAAGAATCATTTGAACCCAGCTCAAGCAAGGTTACAGTGAGCTATGATGACGCCACAAGATAGACCTGACTTATTATGAAATCTGACTTATTTTGCATGTATTAAGTTCCCCAGTATCCCAAACCTAGAGCTAATAAGCTATCTTATTCCTAACATCGTAGAGTTACTGATTAGAATGGTTTAATTAGGTTGGTTTGTGTGATGGTTATTTTTATGTGTCAGCTTTACTGGATTAAAGGATAGTCAGATAGCTGGTAAAACATAATTTCTGGGTGTGTCTGTGAGGGTGTTTCCAAAAGAGGCTGGCATTTGACTCATTAGACTGAGTAAAGATCTGCCTTCACCAACATGGGCAGCATCATCCAATCCACTGAGGACTTGGATCGAAGAAAAATGCAGAGAAAGGGCTGACTTGCTAGAACATCATCTTCTATGCCCTCAGACATGTGAGCTCTCCCAGTTCTTATGACTGTGGTCTCTGGGACTTAAACCAGTGATCCAGCATGACTTACCTCCCAACCCACCTCCCAGACAGGGAGTCATACCATCAGTTCCCCTGGTTCTCAGCCCTTCAGAGACAGACTGAATTACACCACCAGCTTTCTTGGATATCCCAGTTGCAGATGGCATTACCATGACACTCTTTACCTCCATGACAGTGTGAGCCAATTCCCATAATAAATCTCTTATATATCTTTATATATATTCTACTGGTTCCATTTTTCTGCAGAACCCTAATACAGGTTGCCTCTGTACTACTTTTTGAAATAGAACACTTAATATTTGTTAAGTATTTAAGTGGAATATTTGAAAACTTGTCTTAACAGAAACTTTAAGGCCAGGAGCAATGGCTCATGCCTGTAATCCCAGCACTTTGGGAGGCCAAGGTAGGCAGATCACCTGAGGTCAGGAGTTCGAGACCAGCCTGGCCAACATGGTGAAACCCTCATCTCTACTAAAAATACCAAAAAAATTAGCCAGGCATGGTGGCAGGAGAATCACTTGAACCCGGGAGGTGGAGGTTGCAGTGAGCAGAGATCACACCACTGCACTCTAGCCTGGGTGACAGAGTGAGACTGTATCTCAAAAAAAAAAAAAAAAAAAACTTTAAGTAATTGAGAAATATTATTCATTTGTACATAGCTAATATCCTATTTATAAACATTCTCATTTATTCATAAAAGCAACTGCTCAAGAACGTTATCCTATTTCCAGTTACTCATTTTTTAAATAATCTGGCTCTGCACTAATTTAGATGACTTTTATACTCAATTAGACTAAATTTATGGAAATTTATCTGAAAACTGATTCTAGGCTAAAGTCAAGCCTTTAGTCTCATCCTATTCTGACATCATAGGGAGGCAGCAGCTGAGGCTGCGGTGGGAGATGAATGACAAGAGCTGAGTGTGGGACAAGGGCTCTTACCTTCAGCAACTTCATCAGCTCTTCTAGCTGGACCATCAGCTCCCGCCTGCTCTCCTGCAGGGCTGACATCCTCTGCTCCAGTTCATCCTTCCTTTGCCTGTCCAAGAGGAGAAGCCCATCAGATAAAGGGACCCTCAAAGATGGATCTCAGGCCAGGTGAAATGGATTTCAGACCTGATCCTGCTACTTACCAGTTATGAGACTCTGGGCAAGTCATTTAGCCTCTGATACTGCATAAAATTAGGTGATAATGTCTGTTTCACCTACTTTCCTGGACTGTTCTGAGAATAATAGGTAAGAGTGCTTGGGAACATTTACATTACCATATAAAGATATGATTCTTATTATTAGAGTGAATGAATGATTTTAAAACTCTTTAGAGTCAATGCCTTTTGAAAAATATATAAAAGAAGCCCAAATTTAGATTAATAGTGGAGAAACCATATTAAACTGCTCAGAGAAAACGGGTTTCAGTAGTAAGTACTTTCAGCACTGGAGAGAGTCAAGAAGGGTGACAGGTCGGGATGGCTCCCTGTGTCTAAGAACAGTCACTTTTCCTTGAGGATAGATTTTATACCATCTACTCTAGCTCAGTATGTCCAAAACCAGGCTTAAGACTTTTCTCCCTAAGTGGGTTTCTTTCCTAATTTCCCTCTCTCTGCTATTTTTCCTTCCAGGTGTCATGGCTGAAAAACTCACTCCTCTTTGTTACTTTCTTCTTTATTTTTTATTTTTTTATTTTTTTATTTTTTTATTTTATTTTTTTTTGAGACGGAGTTTCGCTCTTTTTACCCAGGCTGGAGTGCAATGGCGCGATCTCGGCTCACCGCAACCTCCGCCTCCTGGGTTCAGGCAATTCTCCTGCCTCAGCCTCCGGAGTAGCTGGGATTACAGGCACGCGCCACCATGCTCAGCTAATTTTTTGCACCATTAGTAGAGACGGGGTTTCACCATGTTGACCAGGATGGTCTCGATCTCTTGACCTCGTGATCCACCCGCCTCGGCCTCCCAAAGTGCTGGGATTACAGGCTTGAGCCACCGCGCCCGGCTACTTTCTTCTTTATATCCTATATTCAATCAATAACTATATTCAGAACATTTTTCTTGAAAAATTTAAGTGCCTTTCTACTCCTATTTCTCTCACTTTCGCTAAGCACTTCTTACCTCAAGCATGCAACAGTCTCCTAGTGTAATTAATCCTGCTTTCATCGTGTGTGTGTGTGAGAGAGAGACAGATACAGAGAGAGAGAGAGAAAGAGAGAGAAAGAGAGAGAGAGAGAGAGAGAGAGAGAGAGAGAGAGAGAGAGAGAGAGACTCAATCTGTCACCCAGGCTGGAGTGCAGTGGCGCAATCTTGGCTCACTGCAACCTCTGCCCCCTAGATTCAAGCAATTCTCCTGCCTCAGCCTCCTGAGTAGCTGGGATTACAGGCATCTGCCACTATGCCCAGCTAGTTTTTGTATTTTTAGTAGAGATGGAGTTTCATCATGTTGGCCAGGCTGGTCTTGAACTCCTGACTTCAAGTGATCCACCCGCTTCAGCCTCCCAAAGTGCTGGGATTACAGGTATGAGCCACCACGTCTGGCTCTTTCATCTTTTATGGTGAGAAAAAAGCAGTGGAATGGAAATCAACAGCCTCAGAGTTTAGTATCAGCCCCAGTATTTACCAAATATGCAAGCTTTGACAGTTGCTTAGCCTCAATTTTCTCTCCTCTAAAAGGGGACTAATAACAGCAACAATATTCTGAGGATCATATAAGCTAATAAATATGAAAATGTTCTATGAAGTTTAAACTGCTGCTCAAATCAAAGCTATGTTCATTTCATCATCCCATAATGATTTCAACAGAATCTCTAGCATCACTGAGCCCTGCCCTGCACAATCTACAGCCACGCTAACACAGCAGCCACCAGCCACATGGGACCACTGAGCACCTGAAACACGGCTAGTCTGCACTGAGATGCCCTGCAATTGTAGCAAACATACTGGAATTCAAAGACTTGCTACAGAAAAAAACCAAAATATCTCAATCATGTTTTAATACTGATTACACGTTGAAAGGATAATATTTGGAAAATATCAGGTTAAGTAAAATGTAGTATTAAAATTAATGACACATTACTTTTTGGCTTCTCACTGAGGCTGTTAGAAAATTTTTAATGACATACATGGCCTCCGTTATATTTCTATTGGAAAGTGCGGCTCTAGAGCCCATCTACATTCCTATCTTTAGCACCTCACCTCCTATCTTATGCCCTTTGTGTCTGGACCTCCAGCT